CACGTGGCGCTGTTCGCGGTGCACTTGAGCGTCTACGCGCTAGACGGCGCTGGGCTAGGCGTTTTTGCGTTTGCCGCGGAGCTGGCGGGCGCAATAGCGTTCGCGGTGCTGCTGGCGATTTACCGATCGCTCTGCAGCGAAGCGCACGGCGTGGAGCAACGCCGCGCGCGCCGCGCGCGCGAAGCGTTGCTGGCGAGCAGCGGCGTGCTCGCGCTACTGTGCCCGTTTTGGAAGCAGCTGGTGTACAACTTGCTGCACACGCGGCGGATGCGGCTCGGCGCGTCGCTGGGCAACTTCGGGCTCTCGCCGTACAGCTACTTCTTCGGCACGCGTTTCGGGCTGTTCGTCGTGCTGGCGCGCTGCGGGCTGGGCTGCGCGTTCGCGGTTGCGTCGCATTCGCGCGTGCTGTCGCGTTTCGCGCGCAACGCGGCCAGCGTCGACGTGCTCAACGACCTCGGGCTGGCGCTGGCCGCGACGCTCGTCGCGCCGGCGCTATGTTGCGTGGCGCCGCGGGTGTTCAAACACCAAGAAGTGTTGCTGCTCGAGCTAGCGCATTGGCTGCCACTTGCCGCGATTCTGCGCCACTTCGACGCGCTCGTGCGTCTGTTTAACGACCAGTACTACAGCAAGCTGACGGGTGTCGACTCGCAGGAGCACGCGCTCAGCAAAATCGTGCGGCCCGAGACGGCGTACACCTAGCCGCGGCAGAGCCGCAGGCGCGTGTTGCGCGGCGAGACTCTGCGGCTGCGGCGGAAGTTGCAAGTCCGTTGATCGCGCGGCAGCTGAAGCGCGCGCCGGTTGCGCAGCCGGCTCAACGAAGTCGGCCAGACGAAGTCGGCTAGACGAAGTCGGCTAGACGAATTCGGCTAGACGAAGCCGAAGCCGTCGCGACCCTCCTGGATGGCTTGCAGCAACTTGCGCTTGAGCGTTTCGTAGTCGGGGTAGTTCGGCAGTTCGAGCTGGTTGAAGCAGGTGTGCGCTGAGGGCAGCCTGTGGTAGTCGTCGATTTTCTTGATCGTGAAGTACTGGATGCCGGCGTTGCCAAGCAAGTTTTTGAAGCCGCCGATCGGCACCTTGCTCGAGCCCGTGACAAACTGCAAGAACTGCGCGAGCTGCGTGGAGTCGAACTCGTGGAGCACTTTCCAGAAGTTTTGAATGATCGGGTCCTGCGGCACGTAGTTGCTGTAGACGGTATGCGCCTCGAGGTCGTCGACGCTAATGCAGGGCAACCCGCAAAACAGCAGCTCGATTTCCATCTCGTCGAAAATCGTGATGAGCGAGCGCGGGATCAGCGAGTTCAGCCCTTTCATGAAGTACTTCGCCTGTTCCTCGATGCCGTGCAAGCACTTGAACTGGCATAGCAAGTTGATGTAGTCGAGCTTGTTTTGGTCCGTGACGCTGATCTGCGAGCCATTCTCGACGAGCTCGATTTGGCGCATTTTTCCGAACTCGTTGATGACGGTCTCGAAGTTGAGCGAGAGCGCCAAGTCTTCGAGGTTGCACTCCAGCAGCTTCTGCAGGCCGTTGTAAAACGGCTCGTCGATGTACTGCGCGTCACTCGGCGTCAGCGGCTTGCCAACGATGATCTTGTAGAGCGGCCGCGAGAAGTGCGCGTCGAGGTAGAAGCCGTCGAACAGGCACTTCGCGGAGAGCAGCCCGATCAGGCGGAAGCAGGTCAAGTGGTCTGAGTGCACGTTGCTGAGCGGGTTGATGTGGTACGCCGTGCCCTTCTCGCCGGTGCGCTGGAAAAGTCCGTAGTCGGGGTTAAACATTTCTTGCGAGAGTTGGCTGTAGTACTCGCGCGTGAGTCCGCCAGCGTCGACGCCTTCTTCGCCCTTGAAGCTGATTTTGAGGTTCGGAATGAAGTTGCGACGCGTCGCGACTTGGTCGAACGTGTCCTGCAAGATGTTGTCGCGCGCGACGGAGAGCTCGATCTGCGCAGCGCCGTGCGCCTGCTTCAGCTGCAGAATGCGCAGCCGAAAGAACGCGCGCTTGTTGTCGAAGGTGATCAGGTGCGTGCCGACCAGCAGCGCCAAGTTGAAGCTGCCCAGCAACAGGTAGGACTGGTCGCGCAGGATTAAGTTCAGCAGCATGCTGTGGTCGGTGATAAACGTGTGCAAGTCGTCGAGCGCGGCGGACTGCGTCCGGTTTCGGCACGTGCACGCCAGCTCGAGCCCAAGGAGCGCGCAGTGGATGTACAGCCCCGGCGACGCGGGCTTGCCCGAGGCAGTGCTCAAGCTGTCGCGCTTGCCGAGGAAGTCGAACTGGCAGTGGTGCGGCACGACGAGGCCCATGGTCGAGTGGATGTAGTCGTCGCAAAGCATGCGCGGGTGGCAGTAGTGGAAGCCGAAGTCGCACACCATGCCCACGGCGCAGCGGAAGATAAAGGCTTCGAAGAGCGGCAGAACGCTGAACATGAACAGCGGCAGGTTCGTGATGTTGATGCCGAGCTGCTTGGGCTCTTTGACGCCCGGCGGTTCCTTGTCCTTCTCGCCCGAGGCGCGCTCTTGCGCGGCGTGCGCGTCAGCCTTCGCGCCGCTGGGCTTCGGCCCGCGCTTGACGGGCTTGTCGTCGAGGCTGGTGCGGATGTCGGAAATCACGCTCGTAAATTCGTAAAGCTCGCAAACGCGCTTCAGCAGCGCGCCAAACGCGGCCCATGGCTGGACCTGCGCCTCGACGCGCGCAAAGAGCGCGTACACGACCTGGTTCGCGGTGTCGCCGGCGGGCGCGGAGCTGGCGAACGAGGAGCTGCGAATGATGCAGCACGGTTCGCGCGCGTCTTGCGTGGACGCGGCGGAGAGATCGTCCGAGTACGGGTCGAGTTTCATCTGCGCGAGCGGGTTGAGGTTAATGCGCTTTTTCAGCAGAACGTCTGGAATGGCTGTGAAGTTCGGCGCCTCGTCGGCGATCGCAATTTCGCTCAGATTCGTCATCGCAGCCTTCACGCGCGCGAAGATGTACGCGAGGAAGCTGTTTTCGACGTAGCAAACGAACTCGATCTCGAGCGTCAGCTGCTGCAACAGACGCACGGCCCAGCGAAACAGCCGCACCAGCTCGCGCTCGTAGCGCTGCAGCAGGTGCGCGCGCGCGTTGAGGTTGTAGAAGTAGCGCAGCACACGGTTGATGTCGGCGCCTTGCGGCGCGAGCGTAGTGCTGACTAGCTTGTTGAACCCGAACACGGAGAACTCGACCAGCTGCTCGAGGTGCGCCCGGTCGTAGGCATGCTGCAGCGCGGCGCTCCTGTGCGTGTAGAGCTGATTGAACAGCTTGGCCGCCGCGGCGTACTCGTGGTTCGGCTGCGCGAGCGTGCGGCACAGCACTGCCTCCGAGACGTCGAACAGCGCCTCTGCGCAGCGCGGCTCGCTCGCGAGTCCGCAGCAGCTGCAGGAGCAGGAGTTGGAGGCTATCACCTTGCAAAGGAAGTCGACGAGATTGCGGAAGTTGACCAGCGCAGAGTCGCGCACGCGCTCGAGGTCTGCGTCTAGTTGTGCCAATTGCAGCGCCGGAGGCGGCGGCGAGTTGTGCAGCGGCTGTGCGTCGCTCGCTGTCGAGCTCTCCGCAAACGGCTCGCGTTCGAGTGCGGCGCCGTGTTGTAAACCGGGATCGGAGTCGTTCGCCGAAGGAGGGACGGCCGAAAGCGCATTGCCTGCGAGCGCATTGCCTGCGAGCGCGTTGCCCGCGAGCGCTTCGCCCGCGAGCGCTTCGCCCGCGACCGCGTCGCCCGCGACCGCGTCGGCCGGGAGCGCTGCGTCCGAGAGCGGCTCGGTCTCGAGCGCGCGGGCAGAGCGCGCGAAGCTGCTGAGCACTGCAAACATGCGTTCGAGAATGTCGGTGTCGACGGGGTTTTGGTTGAGGT